ACCATTTTTCAACGAGTACTCTTATACAATAAAACACCCAGATGTCTAAAGATCTGAACATATACAGTATCCTAATACATATTCACTATTATTCACCATGATAGATGAAAAAAGATACTCAAGTGAAGTGTCATGCATGCACCTGCCAAAGAGTTTACGACCGCCATAACAAGTGTTCTTGTGTGGCTTGCACTCAATTGGCAAGAAGAATCATGTGTGGCTTACGTGAAGGTTTGCATGAAGAAATTTTACTGAATGGGCAAGATGGTTCCTCTTCTAAGACCATTGACAATACAGCTAAAGAAACTAGAGTATGTCCCATTACCCATGCGATCTGCAACGGAAGAGCTGGAGGTCAGGTACAAAGTGGGACCAGTCATGAAGAAGCAAACTGCCCCTTTATGCTTACTCCGGGAGAGTTGCCAATGCCCTGCAGAATATGAAATACAACGGAGATGAAGGAATAAGAAATGAGCACGTCATTTAAATTTGGCCCAGCTAAAGTTTGTCACTGGATGACACGAGCAGATTATTGGCGGACAATGAAGTCGCCCAGCGATTGTACTACATGACAAGGAGTTCCCCCACATCCACGTGTTAGTACATCTGAATACATGAGAAACCCAGAAATATATATATATATGGCAACTTCCCCGTCCTTAGTCTTTGCCAACCTACTGGTGGCTTCCCCCCCGTTACAACGATGGTAGTCATCCCCTTAGCACATTTACAATTGCATACGACCTTCTTCATTGCAATTGATTTCCATTGCAATTTCCAAATCTATTAAGATCCACATAGCACATTATCACCTCACCCTGTGCAATGGAAACCTCAATGCTAGGAGGTAAGAAGCGCTCCTCCAATCGACCATAGCTCTGCACTCACCTGTAAGGATAGGAGTCCCACCACATGCCATGAACTGATGTGTCATTTACGGGAAGAATCTGGACCAGCCGCATGCCAGTTTTGGCTGCAAAATCAATTAATGGCATAAGGTCCAGGAACTCTCCGACACCAACTCCTTCATCTGTTCTGAGGGAGAAAACAGGCACCGCTACACCAGCACCCCTCCAGCACATTGCCTGCAAGCACCCCAAAACATATGATTCCAAACACATGCAGTAAGCTAAAGGACCCTACTAGCAAAACCTCAAATAAATTGAAATAAGCTTTTATTGGAAGGTTGGAAAACTTGGTGCACATTTACCAGCAGACATCAGATCAGCTAAAGGACTGGCCACACTGCACACTATATAAACTGGTCTGCATGCATACCCCATATCCAATAGCTACCTACCACACAATAGCATGCATTGCGGAACAGCCATACTTTATAGGAAGGTCTCCCCTGTACATTGGGAACTGCACCATATTCAAAAAGTACAAGAGCACCTCTTGGCAATCTCTCTCATACAATATTATACATGCCTCCCAGCTTCTATATCAAGACGTTGCAACCTTTTACGGATTATTTTGGATGCTTTCCTCTTCAGTATACATTATTTACTCTCCCTTCCTGAATGCAAGAAATCGAGAAGGCGGGAATGAGAGAATGAGAGAACGAGAGAATGAGAGAATGAGAGAATGAGAGAATGAGAGAATGAGAGAATGAGAGAATAAAAGAATGTGAGAATGTGAGAATGTGAGAATGTGAGAATGCAACAATGCAAGAATGTGAGGACAGGAGATGAGAAAATGAGAGAACGAGAGAATGAGAGATCAAGAGAAGAAGAGAACGGGAGAACGAGAGAACGAGCAAGGGAGAGAATGAGAGGCAATTCACAGCCTACGCCACTATCGAGCTATTCGTCCTTCCCAGAGATTGACGCACTTGGGTAAAACAGAGCTCACGCCCTGCTGGGCCCCCTGTGACTCCTGTGGAGCAACGGTATACAACTACAGCTGGCAAGGTCTGGACAGGCATTCCCGACATTCACGCGATTGGTGGCAAAGCCACTGGCCATCAAGAAGCAACAGTTCAAAGAACTCCTTGGAGATACATCGCGCATGTTGTAAGAGGGACGTTGGGTGAAAAGAACAGAAGGGCGAGAGTGGAAACCACGGAAAGCAGATAAAAGGGGCTGACATCCGGGATTGACGAAAAAGGAAAGTTTGGACAGAAAAAACAATGGAGGGCACAATGCCCTTCGGCCTTTTCCTTCATTCATCCGAGGCGGCGGCCATATAAGAGAAATGAGGAATATAGTTATGATGAACGGCTTCTAGTGTATAGGAAGAGATCGTCCCCCAACAGGATGTCGATAATCTTTCAGCAAAGTGGACAAAAGGAGGACCGAACGAGGGCTCTTAATAGGGTCAATGGCAAGTATTGTACAGAAAAGGAGATCGACTTCTTTTCCACCGTAAGGTGGGTTCCCCTTGACAAGGAGTGACAGGATTCAGGGTGTCTGTATCTAGTAAGGTGGGTTCCCCTTGACAAGGAGTGACAGGATTCAAGCTGGCATCAAGGCTATCCCCACCTATGGAGGAACAGAGCCCCAGGTGGGCCTAATGATTCAAGGAATTCTTTGTACAGTAGCAACTAGAAAGGGATTTAATGTTCAGCGAATCTGGAAGGTAGCTAGTTGCTAATCTTAACGCTTCTCTTTCCTCGGATAATCCACACCAAGGGAGTAAGGAAGGACTGGCACGACTCAGACACAGCAACAGGTCGGGAGATCTCCCGATACAAGAAGAACCATCTATGATCTGGGTACAGAAGGCCAACTAGGCGGACCGCAGAAGAAGACAACGGCATGGCACACACAGACAGACAAGGGCAAGGGATATTGGAGGGGGCACGAATAGGGGGCAATAAAAATGAGCAATCAAGTTTGGACAGGTTTTTTTGCTTCTCTCAAAGCGTTGAGCTTTAAGTAGACCCGACAGCCCGGGTACACCCTAGCTCAGAGGACTTTGAAGGCAAGCTGACAGTCAATCCTTCACGAAGATGGAGTAATCAATGCTGTTCAGGGGTCCTTCAGCCAGACGGAAGGAAGCATGTTTGCGTACATTATTGTATTCTCATGACGTGCCGGTGGAAAAGGAACCGGGCTGATGCTCCCCAGAATGGATATGGAGCCAGGCCCATTAGGCCATGTTGTTTATAAAAAGAAGAAGAAGAAGAAGAAGAAGAAGAAGAAGAAGAAGAAGAAGAAGAAGAAGAAGAAGAAGAAGAAGAAAGAAAGAATGAGGGATGAGAGATGAGAATGTCGGGATAGAGCTCTAACTTCAAGTCACAGCAGTGATGTCACCACAAATGCGCACGTAGCCTTTTGATTGGAACTTGACCCCAGATATAGTCCAGAAACTCACCCTGATATGTGAGTCGGCAACGATGACCACGCGGAAACCCGGCTGCAAATCTAAATCCAGCCGTCTATCCGGTCCTCTCTCCTGAAATCGCTCTGCATTCCCAACCTTCAACATATACTTGTATGTGATGAACTTGTCAAGGAGCAATAGTACTGCAAGACCGCAAGTTATATGAATACATGAATAGCAACATGGTGTTCTAACAGCGGACTACTTCCGCGCTGTAATCCCAATACTTTTTGCCAGCTGCAACCAGGTTCAACCTTAGCAAAGCAACGCTACAGTATAGTGTCACCATCTTTGCTTCCACGCTGGAGTGTAAGGTCGTTACAAAAGTCATGTGAGATTTTCAGAGGTGGACCTAGGGAAATTTCAAAAGATTGCTGCCATTGTTGGGATGCACCCTCCACTCTTGCATTGTCACATGACACACCTAACTGTTGCCAGTGGCATTCTGCGATGGGCATCAACATAGCAATCTTAGCTCAAGTTCTCCCCAATGTATATCTTGTTATTGCGCAAAAGTTTCCTTGATTCTCTTTTTATTATTATTTACCCACTTTTCAAGCCTACAATTCATCCCTTGTAAATAACGGCGTGCTGCCAGTGGCATGCAGCCATTCTTTGCACATTCTTTCTGCTCCCCAACGACTTTGCTGCTTGATTTTATTTTCCTTCGTTTTCAATCTGAATGTCTCAAATCGTCCTTCAGATCCACAAATCCAACTCATCTTACCATATTCCAAAAGGAGTTCAATTCTTCCCTTGATAATACTATAATAGTCGATATCTTGCATGATTGATATGTTTTCGGCATGTTTCCTGCAAATTCTTTTTGAATCTGCCATTTTCAACGGGTTTCCTTTTTTCTCTGACATTTTCTTTGGAAGTCATCGTGACACATGCTCACCATAGGCCACGATTTGGCCACTTTCTAATGCAAGAAGGCTGGAGGCCGCTCCCCAATTCTGGCATGAAGAAAACTCCAGGGCCCAGCATGCAACAAACAAGTGCAGCATCACTACAGCCAAGACCTCACATCAGAGCTGGAGTCACTCCGATGGTCGGTGGCCCTTGGATTGGCCAGCAACCAACCAGCCGACCATTCCACCCGTCCACACATACTGGTCGGCTGTCGGTCAGCACCCCCAAACATCCCCACCAACATCCCCATACCCCCCCCCNNNCCCCCTTCCCCCCCCCGCGTCCCAGTTTTCGGTAACTGTCGGAGAACTGCTACTTCATTTGCAGTTTTTTTTTGAGTGACGGACGAATGCTAATTGCAGTTTTAAGTCACGGGCGGCGAGTGCTAATAGCAGTTCCAAATCATGGAGGAGAGAGAATGTGCTAATTGCAGTGTTGCTATTTTTCGTTTTGTTTTTGTTTTGTTTTGTTTTGTTTTGTTTTGTTTTGTTTTGTTTTTTTGTTTTTTTTTAACACTGCCGCTTGCAGCTCCAATGGGCGAACGCCAATTGCAGTTATAAGTGATGCGCCTCGCTGAAAACGTTTCGTGCTAAGCGCTCCACCAAGTGAAGGTGACCAGTACTCACGGCTAAGTGGTCAGTGCTCAGCGCTAAGTCCCCAGTGATGCTACTTTTCACTTTGAAAACATAATAATTACGTTAGCAACCGACGCGATCTGTACGTGGGACTCCCTCCATTGCTGAAAATAGAACGTGATTGATAGGGGGGCTGTCTCTTATACACATCTAGATGTGTATAAGAGACAGGCCCATAGGTATCCATGTGTCTATTGGGCAGGCATACCACCTGGGCATGATATCGCTGTCAATTAGCTGGGGTGCCGTTGTGGGTCTTCAACCCACCACCTGTCACAGCAAAAAGTGAGCTCAGGCATGCAATCAACCGGACGAACCTTACGGTATCCAGGCCCTGAAGGAAAGATTTGCCAAAAGTAGATGTTCCACGACTCCAACCTTTCATCTCCTCATCCAACAGTTTTCCGTGCTCACCATTGTGCACAAAAAAAAATCTTGGAAAGTTCAGAGGCGCAAATTTGGTCCTGATTTTTCCGGAAAAATGTTCAAAAAAAACAAAAAAAAAAACAATCCGAAGATGGCAAAAACAAATTATGGCGGCAAAAGAAAAGAAGTTTGCATTTTTGCTTCCCGCTGCTAGGTAGCAGCAGGCCCAATAATTCTCTATTTCCTGGCCATACTGTTACTTTGAAAAGCACCAGAGCGACTGGTGGTTTATACATTTCATCCTTTGCAGCCTCCAAGGGGTGCTAGACAACATAAGAGATTTAAAGATGAGGTCGTTAGTGAGGACAAAGGAAACAGACTGCCCACCGCATTTGTCAGAAATAACCCAAAAAGTAAACAGATAACGAGTTTATTATATTTTGTCTTCGCCTTCCCATAAATTTTGATGATCGATTTGCGTAGAGGATATGTGATGGGGAAGTCTTGCAGCGGAACGATAACATAGGCCTCGTACTCAAATTGTGTCACGCGGTGAAGTCTGACACCCAAGTGATGAGACTCCCAGTTTCCCAGCGCCGCAGAATTCCCTTGCACATACACCTGCCAGCCATTGAGGCACGAAGGAGAGAGCCAGGTTAGCTAGCAAAATAGTCGAGAGGTGAGAGGTGAGATCGTCAGAAGCAAATCACACAGCCGCAAAGCCATTTAGTCATGCACAGCTATCACCTGCAAACCATAAGAGGAATGCCTCATACTCATTGATGTACACAGCACGCTTACACCCTACTTGGGGCAGTAACCAAGGGGGTATGAGTTGCGACAGTGACCAACGAGAGGGGTATAATGGAAAATGAAACAGCAGGTGCAATCACTAATTAAAATTGCTTTTTTATGTTTTAACCTTCAAAACTTACCTTCCGCCTCAACCCTTTGCTCATTCTTTGTGGGCCTGTGTGATTCACCTGAGTACGCTGAGAGATAGGTGCTTGGCTTCAGGGAACTGACAAGAGTACAGGGCAAACTGGGAGATGTTCCTCACTCCCTTAGCTTCGCCCTCTCGCCATCCCTCCTACTGCCTTCCTGAACTCCTACCCCGGCTTTATTCATTCCTCACCTCCTCTCCATTCTCTCCCCTCAGCTCCTTTCTTCTCTCCCTCTCCTGCCTTCCGTCCTTCCCTCCCTCCATGCTCCCACTCCCCCTTCCCCCCCTTCCAACTCTACTCCTCAGTGTCATTGCCCTCTCCCATCTTCCTCCTCGCCTCACAGATCCTCTCCCCTTTCATACTCTCCTTCCTCAATTCTCCACCTCATGTTTTCCTCTCTACTCCAAGTCTACTAGTTCTCCTCTTCCTCACCCACGCACTCCCCTGCTCATGCTCATTGCCCTCCGTCTAATCTTTGCCATTGTTATAAATATCCTCATCCAACCTTTCCATCCTCTCCCCACCAACCTTCCCCCTGCAGTTTCTTCTCCTCCTCCCCTCACATTCGGAATCAATTGTCATCTGAAGCTCTTCTCCTCCTCATACTCTCGCTCGTTGTCGTACTCATCATGCCAACATGTGTATAACAGACAAGCCATCCACATTCAAGTAATCCACAGACAGGTTCTCCACGGACAAGTTATCCTCAAAATGACAGAAACATGATCCTGTGCATACCAATCCGATTCCATTCAAAACCAAACTGGAGCACACAGCCTTGGGAAATGCTTCATGCAACCCAGTTACAGTCATGCTGAAGAATTTGAACAGTGTTTAAACCACACTAAAAAGGAGGGGTATTCATTAGGAAGATGTAAACAAGGAGAGAATGTGATAGGCAGAACCTCAGGTCTCCTGCCTGTGACTTGCAGAGAATGCTCACGTAGCAATTAACCATACCCGGTGCACAGCAGAGAATGTGGAGAGAAGACAGCGACGTCCACAGATTTCTCTCTCAAGGATCATCTTTTACCAAAGGAAGGCAGAATGAATTATGCAGGGATGAAAAATGGGTGGGTGAAGTGGGTGAGGGGCCACAAAGAGAGGTGGAAGCTGATAAAAAGCATGTCGGAAAGATAGGGGCCTTGCAGATATAGCACTTATGGTGTGACTCGAAGACCACTTACTTCTTGGCCTTCCTCCAGATACGAACACTTTGTTGTGAACCGTACAATCACAGATTCTGCAGCGGTAGCAACAAAAGACATTCACATATCCAGAGCCACGCAGGAAAGCCATGTTGCTTAGGCACATATAAGACATACTATTGGCAAATCTACCGAACATACCAAAGAACCAATCATGAGTATGAGCTTGTGAACACAAAACCAAACTAGTTGCAGTCTACGGAAACTGTGTG